CTCGCTCCAACAATCTGGGCAACCAACAAAAAGGGGTGATTATTGCAGCTGTCACAATGACTGACACTAAGAAAGCCACCCCTCAAACCTTGGACCTCTCCAAAGGGGTAGTCACAACCAAGGCACATACATCACCTCAGGCTGGAGGCAAGTAGCAGCAGTCCTATAACAAGGTCCTGCCCCCTAAAAATATAAATCGAAGTGACTACTGGATCCACCACCAAAACAAGATGTACCCCTTCAAGAAGGAGTGGGTTACAACGCTACTTCAGTTACTACTAGAGCAGAACATGATACAACTGCCAGAGGTCAAATCCCTAGAGTAGGCTGGATAGGAGACATATGAGAGATACCGTGCCTATCACAGGAGAGTAGGCCACCCTCTCAAGAGTGTTATATGCTCAAAGACGTTATCGAAGCCATTATTAACAAGGGCCGTATAAATCTTGAAGAGCTAAAGAAAGCATTCAGGGTAACTGAGGCTTCCCACGTAGTAACAATCCAAGAGGATGACAAGACACCTACCGTCCTCCTTACCGTATTCTCTGTAATGCTCGAAGAAGGTCTCATCATGCAGAAGCCGACAAGGCACCCCAAGTTCCTGCCTTCAGGAACTGAGAACCTCTGGTGTCCGTATCAAATATGACCCGAGCGAATGCACTGTCTTCCACATGCTCTTTGCAAAGAAGATGCAGCAGCACCAAGAAGTACATGGTAACCCAGAAGGACACCCTCAAGTCCCTGCTCCACAAGTGCAAGAAGACCTCCCGACACAAGCTCAGGGCAGTGCTAAGCTAGACCCTCTGCAGGCCCTCTTCGAGGTGATGCTCCAACAGGGTCTCGTCACTCCCAAGTCCGTTAGGAAACTTAGGCGTCTTGCCTAGGCTTCGAAAAATCTCTGGTACCCATATCACCAAGTTTGAGCCCATGAGCTGAGGGAATGCTCTGGGTTCAAAGTAGTAGTCGTGGAGAAGGTACAAAAAGGCCACATTGTTTGCGCCGTTCTCCCAGAACGCTTCCAAGTTATTACTCCCGTCCAAATGGAAATCCTGCTACAAGTCCCCTACGAGGATACCCTTTAGAGCCCTCGACTTCTCGGCCTTGGGAAGTCTACCATGGATGTAGTAGGCTCGAATCCCGGAAGCATGAGGCAGTCCACCAAGTTAGGGATACTCATCAGCCCAATAGGATGGACAAAACACCTCCCAAGGGATCGAGAAGGAGACGAGCACCTAGGTCAACTCGCTGAAGGAGTCATATTGCTCAGCTACTAGTTGAGGAGCCTCAAGCCTCTTCCTCCACTTTTAATTCGCTAGTACAAAATAACGAGCTAGAAGCAACTCCTGAGGAGGAGAAAGCCCTAGAGGTAGATCTTCCAGCACCGAGGGCCCTTGTAAGGACCAGAAATTTTCCCAGTCATGAGACTCACATGGCAATAGAATCAATAGAGGGGCAGTGTCGTGTATGTAGAGGAGGATGCATGTGTCCGACGCTAAGAAAGGAGCTATCGCCATGCGAGAATGGGACTATCGCCCCATGAAAGTGGAGCTATCACCGCGCTAGGGTGGGACTATCACCACATGAGAGTGGAGCTATCACTGCGATTGTATCCCCGACTGGAGCATCTCCACGAGCGGGTTTCCGTTTGGCACTTCGTCGCGATCGTATCGTCGGCTGGAGCATTGCCACGAGCGTGTTGCCATTTGGCGCATCGCCACGAGCGTATCGCCTGCTGGAGTGTCGCAGCGAGCGTATTGACGTTGGGAGCAATGTCGTGCGTAGCAAGTCAGCACCGTGCCAAAATTTGTCAACACCATGCCACTCGAGTGACGCCAGGCACAACCCTTTTCCACCAACCACCCGCGACATCAGCCACAGTGAATCCCACCAACCCACGTGCCTATAAATCGCACCCCTCCTCACCCTCAACACTAATTTTCCCTCTCTTTCCCTCAAACTTCCTCTTTCAGAGAGTCTTGTGCTGTTGTCGTTGAGTAGTTGCCGGCCAGAGCAAGGGTGACCTGCATGTGAGAATCTAAGAGTAAAGCTACCGTGGGGGAGTAAGGGGTAACTTGTGAAAGGGAGTTAAGAGTGTCGTGGCCATTAGGTAAGTGGATTTAGTGATAGACCTTGAGATTTTTCATGAAATCATTGCTATGCCTTCAGATCTCCATGATGTAAGGTGAAATGAAATGTAGGAAAATTGTAGGTTAAAATGCAAGGACGTAGAGATGCATGGAAAATGAAAAGAAATGAGGAATTATCCTTTGCTAATGAACTTGAAAGAATTATGAAAGAAATCTTCTTGTCAAACTCGCTAATTTGACTTATAAATGGTGTGTATTATGATAATAACATGTAAATACTTGTGGGAAAAGAAATTTCCAGCAGCGGTGACTTACTTTGGGCCATGCCTTTGCCCTAGAAAAAGGCTTCCAAATGCCTTAAAATTTCATCGTTGGAAAGGTCTATGAATGGGACCTAATGTGCATGTTTTGAGATTTCTGAAACTCCTTATAAGTTTTGAGTTATGCCTCAAGATGCATTATCACGTCACTGTTTACTGTTTTTCACCAACTATCACTTGTATGGGGCCAAGCCTTAGATCTAGCAAATGAGGCATGATTTTCTTGATAAGTGACGCATGTAATTTTCTCATTTAGCTATTAATTGAAACATCAAATTTTTCTTGATAAGTGAAAAGTGCAAATGATATATGATAATTGCTATGCTTGTGCCATAAGATTATGTGAATGATGCTTCGTCACATTGTGCTATGTGAAAAAGTGATTTGGTAATATCAATGTGATAACTTCATGATGAAAGTTTCATGATAAGTACCAAATTGCCGAAAATGATAACCATGTATAAATACCCCATGCTAGCCTATGTGACGGGTGCCTTGTGCTAAATGTCATCTTGCTATAATGAGAATGAAGTTTATTTGTTATAAAGCACTGAATTGGCATGAATGAATTGAATGCTCGAGTAAGAGATGGGGCCTTAATGGTGACCACTACGAAATGGGATACCCATCAGTAGTGAGCACTGCTTTATTATACCATTGTGAGAATGGCCATCGTCTATGGATGCTGGCCACTACACGACAAGTCACCCATCGATTGTGGAGACTGATGCATTGAGACAGCAATGCCGACATGTTCCCTAACCTGCACAATGATAGGAACTGGTTAGGGGGTCGCTCCCTGTAATTCAAGAGATGAGATATGTGATTGATTTATGCCTTGCAAGGTAAGGGACTATCGAACCCTAATGCGCCCTAGGGACCATGTGCGTGAGTTGAGGGTATTACAAAGTCGATCACCCCACTTGTCATTACCCTCCTTGCTGTGGGATGATAGAAGTCCTAAGCAACAGGATTGGCTTGGCCTGATGGATAGGGCTTCTACTAGAAGGAGTAGGTAGATTAGGGAGCGAGTATGTAATGAATGAATTGTGTATGCGATTTCCTATAACTGTAATGACTGCATGACAACTGCCATTTGGATATCATGTTTATAATTGATGCATAGATATGTTGATTACTGCATAGGACCACTATTCTGCAACTTGCTATATTTAAATAAATTTTCTAGATTCGCTACCAATGCATAACACTAGATCTGCTTACTGAGCGTCAAAGCTCATCCCACTTTTTTTCCTCCTTGTACACTGAGAGTGGCAGGATCAGAGTTGGGAGTGCGGGTTGCAGATAAGGATCCAGAAGGCCATTCTAAGGAGGAGTTTTAGATCTTGTAGGTAGCTAGGTTCACGACCCAGATACTATTTGCTTTAAACTTTGTAACCTTGGGCCCTGGAGCCCTGAACTCTATTGTACTAATTTTGGGTTGTAATTTAATGAAACCTCTTTTCTTATGAATGAATTTGCTAAGATTTAGCTTTTTAGGCTTGAAAGCATCTACTTTCCTTGGTTTGTTTGATTGCTGAGATTAAGGCATTGAGTCTGCTCCTACACGAGTAACAAACGCTACATTGGGATCACGAACCTGCGCCCGGCTGCCCTCCAGCATCAGAGGTGAGGCAGTCGGGGGCAAGGTCATGACAATTGTGGTATCAGAGCAGCTAAGATAGGGTATTTGGCCTAGGGAGTTTAGGAGGGGAGTCTTTGGAATTGCTTTGGGGTAGACAAGTGACTAGGTGCTCTTGTGGTTAGGTTGAAGATGCCGAAAGCTCGTACCCACAATACTAGTTCCAACAACGAGAACACCAAGGTGCTCAGTGAATTCTATAGGACTTTGGGGGCTATGACCCAAATTATGAAAGAGTCAATGCCAGCTCAGTTTACCCCTACCCCGGAACAAAATGACAGTAGCCTTTTAGAGAGGTTAAGAAGGCTGGTGCCCGTGCCCCCAACCTTTTTTGGGCAAGGAGGGGTAGAGAAGGCTGAGAGATGGAAGTGACTGATAGAAAAGATCCTAGAGGTGCTGCACTACTCGAGAGAGCAAAAGGTTAGATTAGGAACCTTCATGTTGGAAGGAGAAGCCGAACACTGGTGGGACTTGGTGAGGCAGTCCTGAGGGGAGTCGAGGACTGAGACCACATGGGAAAACTTCATAACAGCCTTCGATGAGAAGTATTTTCCAGACTCTGTCAAGGAGAGAAAAGAAGTAGAGTTTATTGAACTCCAACAAGGGGGTATGGCAATGGAGCAGTACGTTGCCAGATTTGCAGAGCTCTCTAGGTACGCACCCCACATTATTAACATCAAGGTGTGGAAGGCGGCTAAATTTGAGAGGGACCTTCGGCCGGATATTAGAGGAAGAGTGATGTCGGTCAACTTGAAGTCATATGCCCCATTGGTGGACTTCACCTTACGGATTGAGAGGGACTGCAAGGACCACAACTCGAGGAAGGAAGGAAAGATGAAGGAAGTGCCATCGGGATGGTTTGGAAAGAAGCCTCAACAATTCTCAAGAAGGGATATTAGAGGAAAGCGATACCAGCTTAATCAGAGGACCTAGAAGAATCACTAGGGCAACATGGAAAACGATCGATGCCCGGTATGCTCTCATTGTGGAAAAGATAGCGGCACTGCTGTCGAATGCTATAGGGAGCGGAACATGTGCTTAAATAGTGGCAAGCCAAGTCACTGGGTTAATGAATGCCCTATGATAAAGATCGAGGACCGGCCGAAGACACAAGGACGAGTGTTTGCTCTCACAAAACAAGAAGCCAAGGCGTCCATCTCGGTGATCAGAGGTACGCTCTCTATCTGTGGTGTTAGAGCCAAAGCCTTAATTGATCCTTGTTCCTCTCATTCATTTGTTGCACCCCATTTTGCTTGCCATTTAACTGTTACACCAACATGTCTCAATTATACTCTGACAGTAAGCACACTTGTGGGGGATTCCCTGGAAACTGATAGGGTATTTAGACAGTGTGGGATTAATATTGATGGGTGCGACCTACCTGTAGATTTGATCCTCTTAGATATTCAGGACTTTGATGTTATTCTAGGCATGGATTGGTTGTACACTTATCATGCCACCGTCAATTGTCATGAAAAGATGGTAACCTTTAAATGTCTTGATCAAGTAGTACTGCACTTTGAAGGCACCAGGGATATTTCCCCTCTGCACCTTATTTTCGCCCTCTTGGCCTCTCACCTTCTGACTAAGAAATGTGAAGGGTATTTAGCTTATGTAGTACAGAATAGGGATGTTCAGGCCCAACTGGAGGAAATACCGGTTGTTAGCGAGTACCCTGAGGTATTCCCAGAAGAGTTACCCTCCCTGCCTCCAACAAGGGAAATTGAATTTTAGATAGATGTAGTCTTAGGAACTGTTCTCATCTATAAAGCTCCGTATAGAATGGCCCCAACCGAATTGAAGGAGTTAAAAGAGAAGTTGCAGAAATTATTGAATAAGGGGTTCATCTGACCTAGTGTGTCACCCTGGGGTGCACCTATCCTATTTGTGAAGAATAAAGATGGATCCCAGAGGCTATGTATTGATTATAGGTAGTTGAACCAAGTGACAGTGAATAATAAGCCCTCTGCCTAGAATTGATGACCTCTTTGATTAGCTCCAGGGGCCCAGGTGTTTTCAAAGATAGACCTCCGATCGGGGTATCACCAATTGCGAATTAAGGAGGAAGATGTCTCGAAGACTGCTTTTATAACTTGATACGTCCACTACGAGTTTTTTGTAATGCCGTTCGGGTTAACCAATGCCCCTGTGATGTTCATGGATTTGATGAATAGAGTATTCCAACCTTTCCTGGATGATTTTGTAGTAGTTTTTATTGATGATGTTTTGGTGTATTTGAAGAGTTGGGAACTGTATGAGCAGCATTTGAGAACTATCTTGCAAACTCTGAGGTCAGAAAGATTATATGTCAAACTAAGCAAGAGCGAATTTTGGCTCCCCAGTGTAGCCTTCCTTGGTCACATAATTTCTAAGGATGGGATCACGACCGATCCCTCTAAGAATGAACCAGTTCTTAAGTGGGATAAACCAACAAATGTAACTGAAGTTTGCAGCTTTCTGGTGTTAGCAGGATACTACCGATGCTTTGTGGAGGGCTTCTCGAAAATAGCACTTCCCCTTACTCGGCTACCCCAGAAGAAAACGAAATTTTTGTGGTCAGATGAATGTGAGAGAAGTTTTTAGGAACTTAAGAGAAGATTAACCACAGCCTCAATACTAGCCTTGCTCGAAGGGAATGAAGACCTTGTGGTTTAAATCGATGCATGCCATAAAGGACTCAGGGGTGTACTCATACCGATGCATACAGATGCATGCGCCTCCAAACAATTGAAACCGTATGAGCAGAACTATCTAGCGCAAGACTTAGAGATTGCGGTCGTAGTGTTTGCATTAAAGATATGGAGGCACTATCTCTATGGGGCCCGATTTAAAGTATTTAAAGATCATAAGAGCCTCAAGTATCTATTTTCCCAAAAGGAGATGAATATGAGGCAAAGGAGATGGATGGACTTATTGAATGATTACGACTGTACAATTGATTACCATCCAGGCAAAACTAACGCAGTAGCCGATGCCCTAAGTTAGAAAACTGTGATCTCAGTAGTACACCTGATGATTCGAGAGATGAGATTGCTAGAAGACATAATAGAGTGGCACCCAACTCTACCCCTCGATGATGGGGTCAGTGTACTCTTGTGTGTGAGGGTAGAACCCCAGCTCTTTCAACAAATTCGACTAGTGCAAAAAGAATATCCTCAGCTCATGAAAATTTGTGAAGACATAAAAATGGAGGAAGAAGAGGATTTCACCTTGAGTAGTGATGAGATGTTGAGGTTCAAGGGCCGAGTGTGTGTCCCTAATAATGATAGTGTAAAAAGGGCTGTTCTGGAAGTAGCACACCACTCATGCTACATGGTACACCCTGAGAGTACGAAGATGTTCCAGGATCTGAAAAAGGTCTTCTAGTGGAACAACATGATGAGAGATGTGGCTTAGTTTGTTGCTAAATGCTTGACGTACCAGCAAGTGAAGGCAGAACATCAAAAACCCGCAGGACTATTGCAACCCTTCCCCATACCAGAGTGAAAATGGGAACACGTCACAATGGATTTTGTTTCTGGATTGCCCAAGTCAAGTGCTGGACTTGATAGTTTCTGGGGTCCTTGTGGACCGATTAACTAAGGGCGCTCATTTCTTACAAGTCCGCACGACTTATAACCTGGATGAGCTGGCCCAGTTGTACATCAGAGAAATTGTAAGATTACATGGAGTACCCATCAGCATCGTGTCTAACAGAGACACTAGGTTTACCTCTAGATTTTGGGCCAGCCTACAATCAGCTTTGGGGACCAAACTTACCTTCAACACCGCCTTTCACCCCCAGACAGATGGCCAATCAGAAAGGACCATTCAGACACTAGAAGATATGCTAAGGGTATGTGTCAATGATTTTAAGGGAAGCTGGGAGGACCATCTGCCCCTGATAGAGTTTGCCTACAACAATAGCTTTTAAGCCAGCATTCTGATGACACCATATGAGGCCTTATATGAGAGGATGTGTCTCCCATCTGCTAAGATGAGGTGGATGAGAGAAAATTACTGAGGCCCGAAATAGTCCAGATAACTTCTGAGAAGATTGCCTTAATTAGAGAGCGGCTCAAGACAGCCCAAAGTCGACAAACGAGTTATGTCGATAAATGCAGGAGGGACCACAAATTTGAAATAGGTGATCGGGTCTTCCTGAAGATATCACCGACTAAGGGTATTACAAGATTTGACAAGAAGGGAAAGTTGAGCCCTCAGTATATTGATCCTTTCGAGATTTTGGAAAGAGTTGGGAACATGGTGTACAGACGTGCCCTGCCACCTACACTGGCCAATATTCACCATGTCTTTCATGTATCATTGCTGAGGAAATATCAACCTGACCCATCCCATGAATACAAACCAATCTCAATTAGGGAGGATTTGACCTATATTGAATGACCAATTGGGATATTAGATTAGAGAATACATGTGTTACACAACAAAGAAATTCCCCAGGTCCGGGTGCAATGGCAACACCACACAAGGGAAGAATCAACGTGGGAATAGGAAGATGAAATTAAGGACAAATACCCCCACCTCTTTGATCAATGATTCATAGGAGAAAATCCTTTTTTTCGAGTCATGAGACATGCACAGCAATAAAATTAGTAGAGGGGCAACGCCGTATATGTAGAAGAAGATGCAAGTGCCCGACGCTAAGAAAGGAGCTATAACCACGCGAGAATGGGACTATCGCCACGCGAGAGTGGAGCTATCACCGAGTGAAAGTGGGACTATCATCATGCGAGAGTGGAGGTATCGCTGTGAGCGTATCGTCGGCTGGAGCATTACCACGAGTGTGTTGCCGTTTGGCGCATCACCACGAGCATATCACTGACTGGAGCATCGCCACGAGCGTGTTGTCGTTTGGTGCATCACTGCGTGCATATCATCAGGTGGAGCATCGCCACGAGCGTATTGACATCGCGTGCAATGTCGTCCGTAGCAGGTCAGCGCCATGCCGAATTTGTCAACGCCACGTCGCTCGAGTGACGCCAGCCACAGACCTTTTCCGCCAACCACCCGTGGCATCACCCACAGTGAATCCCACCAACCCATGCGCCTATAAATTGCACCCTTCCTCATCCTCAGTACTGTTTTTCCCTCTCTTTCCCTCAAACTTCCTCTTTCAGAGAGTCTGGTGCTGTTGTCGTGGAGTAGTTGCCGGTCAGAGCAAGGGTGACCTGCATGTGAGAATCCAAGAGTAAAGCTGCCGTGGGGGAGTAAGGGGCGACCTGTGCAAGGGAGTTAGGAGCGCCGTGGCCATTAGGTAAGTGGATTTAGTGATAGGCCTTGAGATTTTTCATGAAATTATTGCTATGCCTTGAAATCTCCATGGTGTAAGGTGATATGAAAAATAGGAAAATGGTAGGTTAAAATGCAAGGACATAGAGATGCATGGAAAATGAAAAGAAATGAGCAATTATCCTTTGCTAATGAACTTGGAAGAATTATAAAGGAAATATTCTTGCCAAACTTTCTAATTTGACTTATAAATGGTGTGTATTATGATAATAGCATGTAAATACTTGTGGGGAAAGAAATTTCCAGCAGCTGCGACTCACTTTGGGCCACGCCTTCGCCCTAGCAAAAAGCTTCCAAATGCCCTAAAATTTCATCATTGGAAAGGTCTGTGAATGAGCTATAATGTGCATGTTTTGAGATTTCCGAAACCCCTTATAATTTTTGAGTTATGCCTCAAGATGCATTATCACGTCACTGTTTACTATTTTCTAGCAACTATCACTTGTAAGGACCCAAGCCTTTGATATAGCAAATGAGGCCCGATTTTCTTAATAAGTGAAGCATATAATTTTATCATTTAGCTATTAATTGAAACATCGAATTTTTCCTGATAAGTGAAAAGTGTGAATGATATATGATAATTGCTATGCTTGTGCCATAAGATTATGTGAATGATGCTATGTGAAAACGTGATATGGCAATATCAATGTGATAACTTCATGATGAAAGTTTCACGATAAGTACCAAATTGCCAAAAATGATAACCATGTATAAATACCCCATGCAAGCCTAAGTGATGGGTGCCTTGTGCTAAATGTCATCTTGCTATAATGATAATGAAGTTTATTTATTATAAAGCATTGAATTGGCACGAATGAATTGAATGCTCAAGCAAGAGATGTGGCCTTAATGGTGACCACTACGAATTAGGATACCCATCGGTCGTGAACACTGCTCTGTTATACCATTGTGAGAATGGCCATCATTTATGGATACCGGCCACTACGCGATGGGTCACCCATCGGTAGTAGAGACTGATGCACTGAGACGGTAATGCCGACATGTCCCCTAACCTGCACAATGACAGGAACTGGTTAAGGGGTCGCTCCCTGTAATTCATGAGATGAGATATGTGATTGATTTATGCCTTGCAAGGTAAGGGCTTGTCGAACCCCAATGAGCGCTGGGGACCGTGTTCATGAGTTGAGGGTATTACGAAGTGGATCACCCCACTTGTTATTACCCTCCCTCCTGTGGGATGGTAGAAGTCCTAAGCAACGGGATTGGCTTGGCCTGATGGATAGGGCTTCTACTAGAAGGAGTAGGTGGATTAGGGAGTGAGTATGTAATGAATGAATTGTGTACGTGATTTCCTATAACTGTAATGGCTGCTTGATGACTGCTATATGGATATCATGTTTATACTTGATGCATCGATATGTTGATTA